ATTTCTTTCCCCTGTGTGAGTTTTTACATGACTTCTAAGATCTGATGTGGTAGAATAAAATTGTCCACATTCGATACATTGATGTGGTTTCTCCCCTGTGTGGGTTTTATGATGTCTCCAAAGGTTTATCTGTTGAGCAAAACATTTTCCACATTCTAGGCATCTGTATAATTTCTCCCCTGTGTGGGTTTTATGATGTCTCCAAAGGTTTCCCTGTTGAGCAAAACATTTTCCACATTCGAAGCATTGATATGGCTTCTCCCCTGTGTGGGTTTTATGATGTGTCCAAAGGTTTCCCTGTTCAGCAAAACATTTTCCACATTCTAGGCATCTGTATAATTTCTCCCCTGTGTGAGTTTTATGATGTCTCCAAAGGTGTCCCTGTTGAGCAAAACATTTTCCACATTCGAAGCATTGATATGGCTTCTCTCCTGTGTGGAGCCTCTGATGCCTTCCAAGGCTTTGTTTTGGGGAAAAGCATTTCCCACACTCCTCACATTTGTATGGTTTTTCCCCTGTGTGGATTCTTTCGTGAAGCTGAAGCTCTGTTTGTGTAAGAAAACCTTTCCCACACTCCCTACATGGATAGGATTTCTCCCGTTTGTGCCCCTTCTGGTGCCTCTGAAGTAGAGAAGGAAACATAAATCGTCTCTCACATTCTGGGCATTCATAGGGTCTCTCTCTGGTGTGACGTCTCTGATGTTGCACTAGGATTGATTTTGAGATAAAACATTTCCCACATTCGAGGCACTTTTCGTTTTTCTCCCCTCTGTGTGTTTTCGCATGATTCCAAAGAGTTGAACTCCGGTTGAAACATTTTCCACACTCAAAGCATTTGTAAGTTTTTATTCCTGCATGAACCTTCTCATGGGCCCAAAGACTTGCCTTCCAAGAAAAGCTCCTCCCACATTCCCAGCACTTGTAAGGTTTCTCCCCTGTGTGAAGCCTCTCATGGTTTCTGAGACTGCCTCTTTCACTGAAAAAATTCCCACATTCCAGACACTGATAAGGTTTCTCTCCAGTGTGGATTTTCTGATGTCTAACAAGGTGTGACCTTTGACCAAAGCATAGGTCACATTCCTCACATTTATAGGGCTTTAGTCTGGGGGGGCTTCTGAAATTTTTCATGTCTTTTCCAGAGAAGGATTTCTCAGCCTCCAATCCTTCACTGGATCCACTTCCCACATGGACCTTCCTGTGGGTCAAAAGGAGGGACCGGCAAGCAAAGGATTTTCCACACTCTGAGCATTCACGGGTTCTTTTGTGGTTTTCTTTTGTGGCTGCTTCTGTCTCACAGGGGATCCAAGAGTTTCCCAGGCTCCATGCTTTCTGGCACTGGCTGCCTTGGGCTGAATTTCTACTATCTCTTGAAAGGTGACTTGCAGGTGAATCTTTGGTTTTCCTGCTGGTGGAAAAAGAAAGAAGAGGAGAATAATGTTTCCTTTTGAGAATGGTAGAGAATCACAAAATCTTAGCCTTGGAAGGGACCATGAAGGTCTTCCAGTCCACCCTCTGACCAGGGCAGAGGTCCACAGTACACCTGAGACAAAACCTCCATGGATTCCGTCACCCCAGATCCCTCGGAGGCAAACTCTCCTGCTGTTCACTGACTCAATTTTTTCCTCCTTGGTTCTCGTCCTATGACGAGGTGAAAAAGAATCTCTGAAACTTTAGGTAGTCCTCAACTTATGACCAAAATCTGGACAGGAATCTCGCTGTGTCCAGGGAAGTAGGAGTTATGTGAGGGTCACACGGCCACTTCACTCACCAAGCGCAATCCCACACTCTTGCTTACAGTCATTAAATCATCTTGAGGGTTTTTAA